ATTAGTTGGCCAATTAATTTCTTTCTATTTATAGTAGAAACAGGGTCTCGCTCTTGCTCAGGCTGGTTTCAAACTCCTGACCTCAAGCAATCCACCTGCCTTAGCCTCCCAGAGTGCTAGGATTACAGGCGTGAGCCACCACGCCCGGCCCAACTGTCCCACTTTTGGCTGATCTAGGTGAAACGCCGATATGGCCCAAAGGGTAAGAGATGTCAAAGAAGTAGTGCACTTTAACTGAAGTGCTGATAATGAGATCATTGATTGCTCCAAATGAAAAGTTTAAAGGAGTAATCAATGCAACAATTACAATTGATTATCTGACTTTTACCTGATTCAAGGGTATAACCTGCTAACCTAATCCTCAGACAGGAGAAAAAGGACCACAAACCTGATACTTCTGAAAGTGAAGGACAAACTTATGGGCTGACTTAAAAGCTAAAACAAACACTCTCTGCATCCTTGTTTAGAGATTCTTTTTTTTTTTTTTTTTTTTTTGAGACAGAGTCTCACTCTGTAGCCCAGGCTACAGTGCTGTGGCATCAGCCTAGCTCACAGCAACCTCAAACTCCTGGGCTCAGGCAGTCCTCCTGCCTCAGCCTACCAGGTAGCTGGGACTACAGGCATGCACCACCATGCCCGGCTAATTTTTTTCTATATATTTTAAGTTGTCCAGCTAATTTCTTTCTATTTTTTTAGTAGAGATGGGGTCTTGCTCTTGCTCAGGCTGGTCTCTAACTCCTGAGTTCAAACGATCCTCCTGCCTCAGCCTCCCAGAGTGCTAGGATTACAGGTGTGAGCCACCATGCCTGGCTCAGATATTCTTATTAGAGGAAGATTAGAATAACTACATAGCTTTAAAGAAACTTGATAAATGAAAATCCATAATTTCCTAAGAGATATTAGGAGTTGCCTCATTCTTTTATTGAAGAATTTACAATAGAATTCTCTTAACTAGTTATATTTTAGTGCATCTGAAATATGATTCTACCTACCAAAAATTTGTTTTGCCCTTTCTATTGTTTAGTGTGTTTTTTTTTTTTTTTTTTAACCGGGAGTAAACCTATTTCATACACCCATGGTTCTATTAGTTAAGGTATAAGCTAAGTTGCTATAACATGAAAACTAAAAATACAGTGACTCAAATAAAATAGAAGTGTATTTCTACCTTACATCTAGGTCCAGAGGAAGGAAGTGGTGCTCCAGGAGAGCATCTGGGTTCCAGGCTCCTTCAGCTGTACCCAAGGGCGTTATCCTTATCTGCGTGGTCAAAGTGGGCTCAGCACCCCCATGTCCACATTCCCACCCATAAGAGGGGGATAAGAGGAGGAAGCCAAGCAGCTTCCACCCAAGGATGCAACCCAGAAGTTGCACACATCACTTCCACTCCATCCCATCAGCCAAACTTATTTCACATGGCATACCTACCTTCAAGAGAGGCTGAGAAATGTTGTCACTAGCCGGACAGCCATGTGCCCAGCTAAAACTTGGGTGGTGGGAGAGGTTCTAGCTGTAAATAAAGAAGAGAATGGATACTGGGGGACAATTAACAGTCTCTGCCTCCATGGTCACCCACTTTGCATATTACGTGTCCCATGCTGGGAACCTGACAATGCCTTTCCCTTTTGAGCTATAGAGATTCTTTTGTAGCTTAGAAACAGCCATCAAATCTGTCAACCAACAAAAATTTGTTGGACTCATAGGCCCTTAGCAGGGATCAGGAGACAGGACAGTGACTATGTTGGGAACAGTCTCTCTTGAAATGAAGTCTCCTTTAACTGATAACTGACATCTTCATTGCAGCCTCTGTACCTAAGAAGGTGGTTCTTGAGGATGCCAAGCCAGTACCTGAAGCAGCAGGGACAGCAGAATGTGGCAAAGGCCTTTCCCTGGAGCCAGGCACCCAGCTGGAGGAGAAAACCTCAGAAATCTCTCTGGGCGCTCAACATTCAAGTGAATTAGAGAAGAGGCCAAATCCGGAGAATGTGGTGGAGGAAGGACGAGAGGCTGGTGGGGCGGAGTGCAGCGCTCTGCCAGAGAGCCCCAGGGCCAGAGCCGAAGCTGTGTTTCTCCATGAGATGGTAAGGTGGATTCACGGCCTGCTCCAGCCAGGTAGTCCTCCCAGGGGATCTTGCTACAATTTAAAGTAGATTTAAAAAAAAATTTTTTTTTTAAACATTTAGTTTCTGTCAAAGAGAGTTCAAGTGACAAACTTCTAATCAGGTCTGGGGTTTGTTTTGCAGTAGACTTTTCTGAAGTCCTACAGTGATGGGGAGGAAACATCCAGCTCAGATTCCTCAGGACCGACTCAACTCTAAATATTTCTAACCTGAGGTTACCATAAACCAGTAACATGTCCTTGGAATGTAACAACATTCAGTCCCAGAAGCAGCACAAAACCTGCTTGTCATTCCAGTCCCAAATATGATGACCATTCACAGGGTCCAGGCCTCTTCTTCCAGACATCCTTGGTGGGCAATTGTCTATGACTGTTTCTAAAACCTGAAAGATTTCCAGGATCCGTTCTTTCCTCCTGTGGCTTCTGGAAAAGTTAAAATACAATGCCAGAGCTCACTGACCTTGTCCACTTTTTAGAGGTGGAATTTTCTAAGAAGGTTTTCATGGGATGTCCTTACATCCCATAAAGGAGGAGGTTTTCCAGGGACGCCCAGGGAGGAGTCCTGCATTGGGAGGCAGCTCTATGATCAGATGAGTGTGCCAAAGGGGAAAAGGAAGCTCTTTACCTTTTAACTTGCTTCCAGGACTTGGTGTTTAGAACATCACAAAAGGACTGTGTGCTGGGAGTTAGAGCACAGCTGGGGTGACATGGTGGCCTCAGGAGGGCTGAGTGAGGGTCCCTATAAGAGGTGTTTGCATTTTTTGAAGGGAAAGGATGCAGAGATTCATATGGGGATTGGATTCTTATGTGGAGGGCCCAAGTATGAATGCCATTGCTTTGAGAAGTGGATAAAGTTAGTGCTGGAAAGAAACCAGGGTGAATTCAAGTGAACAAGTAAAGGCATCAATTCATTCATTCATTCAAAACATGCGGTAAACACCCACTTTGTGCCAGGCATGATGCTGAGCAGAGATCACTGTAGTTAACAAGACTGTCACTGTCCCTGCCTTCTTGGAGCTAACACCCTAGTAGGGGAAGGGACACTGAACAAGTAATTTCTGGGCTGCTATGGAGGCTTGGAGTGCTGTGGAAGCAAATAGCAGGAGGACCCAACCTAGTGGGGGCATGCCACAGGGGCCAGGGAGGGCTTCCCTGAAGAATAGGTATTTATGTTGAGAACTTAGCCGTAATAAAGGGGTAGGGTGTGGGATAGAAAAGGGAGAGAATTCCAAGCAGAAAGAATAAGATGTGCCATGAATCTGGGATGGGAAAGAACATAAAACATTTCAAGGAATGGAAACAAGGCCAGGATAGCTGGTCTGGAGAAAGTGAGACTCCGAGGGACACAGGAGCCACATCAGCCAGGACAGCTTGGAAGGGCTTTGGGGATTAACCTAAGGCAGTGGGAAAGCATATGAGATGTTGAGAATTTTGTGTTTAAAGGGTTGCTCTATTCCATGAGGAGCAAGGCTTGGAGAAGGGCAGGAGAGGAGGCACAAATGCCAGTTAGGAGGCTAGTTAGTATGTAGCAAGCCAGGCGAGAAAAGATGGTGGCATGGGCTGGTGTGAGGCCATAGGTACAGAAGTGGAAGGATGCAAGAGCCATATAGAAGGTGGAATGAACAAGACTTGGTGAAAGATTGGAGAAGGAGTGAGGAAGAAGAAAGCATCAAAGGTACTTCGTAAGTTCCTGGTCTGAGCAAAAAGCTGCATTGTAGGTCCACTTACTAAGAAGGCAGAGTGAAGTGGAGAGGAATTTAGATAGTAATTTATTCATCTAAATTTACTGATTTTTTAGTAAGAGATCAATTAATGTAGGTGCTGAGGAGAGTACAGAGATGAGTCTGTCCCTGCCCTAAAGGAGGGCCCAGTCTAGTAGGCAAAATAGAAATGTACACAAATAAATGCAGTGCAGTAGAATCAGATTACTTTTGGCCAAGTAATCCTGCAGTGTTATGTGAAAGAACTAACTCAAAAGGAAACAACAGAGCCATTGCAATTCAACTGACACTTTATTGAGCACCTGCTCATAGTACACCAGGCATTATTTGGCCTTGAGGAATCAAAGATGAATAAACACAATCCCTGACATCAAGGAGCTAACGGTCCATTGGGAATGGTAAGGCAAACATAAAAGTAACTGTAATATGAAATGACACGTGATTACAGCCATGTGAGAAGGGAGTGAGAGGTCAGCAGCAAACCAGACCTCCCAGAAAGACCTGTGCCCCCATCGGGTGGAAATGCATCTCCAAACTGCTTCTGCTTTGGACAGAATTAGGCCTTGAAGCATGAAATAGAAGGAACTGAAATTTTTTTTCCTGGCTCTGACCAGGCCTCCATCCCTTTCCTGTCTACAGCTTTGGGCTCTGTGTAGGGAAAGGGAGGAGTGGAGGACAAAGGGATGCTGGACTTGAAGGGAGACAAGAGCAGCAAACAAGATGGGGTAGGAGGCAGTTCAAGAATCACAGAAAAGAAACCCCCATAGTGTTAACAGTGATTTTGCTATTTTTCTATATGCCTTTATTTTAATATGTATTTAAATATTTTCCCATGTGGAATATGTATTTCTTTGGTAATAAGAAAAACAAGAACTACATTTATTTATTTGGAAAGCAGGTGTCAGGGTAAAAATGAACATTTTCATCCTACTGAGAGAATCTTATTCTTGTATGCCTTCTAGTAAACCTAAGTTAAATAAGATAGGGTTTCTGTCTGTTTTATAAAGCAACAGTGCACAAGGATTAAACACTTATGTTCTGGTGTAGAAAGAACTGAATTTCAATCCCAGTCTTCTGTCCTATGACTTAGGTTAATTGTTTAATCTATTTGCACCGAGCCCTCCTCATCTATAAAATGGGAGTGATTGTGATAGTGTTTATCTCCTAAGGTTCCTGGGGAAAATAAACAAGAAGATAAAGTATTAAAGTACTATTAAAAGTATTTTATGGTACCTGGTAAGCGCTCGGACACCACAGTTGTTATTGGTGCTGCATCCTTTATTTGCTGAGGTGGCGCAGCCTGCGCTAGTCCCTTCCCTCTTGCTGGAAACAGTGCGATGTCAGTGCCCAGAGTCCTTCGTTCTAAAATAATCAGTTTATTGATGTTTTTCAGGATGAAGATGATCTGGCCAACGCCCTGATCTGGCCCGAGATTCAACAGGAGCTGAAAATCATCGAATCTGAGGAGGAGCTTTCTTCATTGCCACCACCTGCTGTGACAAGCAACCCAATTCTGCCAATTCTTGAGTCAGGTCCTGGGGACTTTGCTCCCCCAGAGCCTCCTGGGAGTTTCCCTTGTGGCTCCGCCCCTGCCCCAGTCCCCGCCCCTCTGGAGGAGGGGACTAGGGACTCAACCAATCAGACCACACAAGGCACTTCCACAGCCGCCAACAGAGAGAAGCTAGAGCCAACCAACAGCCTCCACAGATCCGAGGCGGAGCTGGGCCTGCGCCCGGACCCCGCCAGCCTGGCTCCTCTGGAAATAGTTCCGTTTGAGACCGTGTCTCCACAAGCCAGGGTGGAGGTGGGGGCCCCGGGGAATCTGTCTCCTCCACTCCCACCTGCTCCTCCCCCTCCAACTCCTTTGGAGGAGGCGCCTCGAGTCCTGCTGTCAAAGGGCGGCCCTGAGAGGGAAGACCCATCCAGGAATTTGAGGACAAATCCTTATATAGACCCGCTGAAGTTCAAAGACAGCCCTGGGATCCCTAGCCTCTGTCAGGGAGACAAGGCTGCTCCAAGACAAAGTGAAAAGAAAAATTCAAAGAATGCTGCCCCCGAGGGAAAAGGCTCTGGTTTACCAAGCCCAACAAGGGAGATTGAGGTCTCCCCACAAGGAGAAAGGGATGTAGCCCATTCAGTTCAGGAGCCTTCAGACTGTGACGAAGACGACACTGCGACAGACGTTGCCCAGCATGGTGTGGAGATGGTGGAGCCCTGGGAGGAGCCCCAGTGGGTGACAAGTCCCCTTCACTCCCCTACCCTGAAAGATGGGCACGAGGCCCAGGTGCAGGGTCCCCAGGACCACCGATTGGAGAAGAGGCTTTCCCACAGACCCAGCCTTCGCCAGAGCCATTCTTTAGACAGCAAGCCTACATTTAAGAGTCAGTGGACTCTGGAGGCTCCTTCCTCCAGCAGCTGTGCTGATCTGGAAACAGAGAGGAATTCCAACCCTCAGCAGCCCCTGGCACCCAGGAGAGAGATTATTGGATGGGATGAGAAAGCCATGAGGTCTTTCAGAGAGTTCTCTGGCCTGAAAGGGGAAGAGGCTCTTCCCAGCCAGAAGGGACCAGGTGTTATGCAACCCAAGCCAACAGAAACCAGCCCCATCAGCCACACAGCGGGAAAGGAGCTGGGGACACACCTGGGGCACAGCAACCCTCCAGTTAAGCAAGGTGTTGTTCCTGGGCCAGAGAGCAGTGAGGAGAGTTCATCTAGTGTGCAGGGCAGCACCTTACCAGAGGAGCATCCCCCAAAGTTACAGGTGAAGAGCACTGAGTGTGGGCCCCCAAAAGGGAAAAATAGACCTTCTTCCCTCAACTTGGACTCTGCCATTCCCATCACTGACCTCTTCCGGTTTGAGCATGTGGCCTCATTTAGTTCACCTGGAATGCAGCAATCTGAGCCGGAAGACCCAAAGGCCACATGGGTGACCTCATCTCACTGTAAAGCAGACCCCTGGAGGGTTTACTCCCAGGACCCCCAGGACCTGGACATTCTTGCTCATGCCCTGACAGGCCGCCGTAACTCAGCTCCTGTGAGTGTGTCAGCTGTGAGAACCTCCTTCATGGTCAAAATGTGCCAGGCCAGGGCAGTCCCAGTCATCCCGCCCAAGATTCAGTACACCCAGATCCCACAGCCCCTGCCCTCTCAGAGCTCAGGGGAGAGTGGGGCTCAGTCTCTGGAGAGGAGCCAAGAGGAACCCAGCCCAACTAGTGGGACCTCTGAGAAACCTGCCAAAGATGATTCTCCCTCCCCTCTGGAAAGCCCAAAGGGAGAGAAACCAAAGCAAAATACAGGAGCCATTAAGTCCTTGCCAATGGATGCCACTGTGTCCTGCCTGTGTGAGGGACCCACCCTTTCTCCAGAACCAGGCTTGTCTAACCTGCTTTCCTCCCAGGATGCAACAGTGCAATGCAGAAAGCGCACATCAGAGACAGAGCCATCTGGGGACAACCTTCTTTCTTCAAAAATAGAGCGACCATCTGAGGGTTCTAAGTCTTTCCATAGGTCTAGGCCAGGAAGACCTCAGAGCCTAATCTTATTCAGTCCTCCTTTCCCCATTATGGACCACCTGCCCCCCTCATCCACAGTGACAGATTCCAAGGTCCTGTTATCCCCTATCAGAAGTCCCACCCAGACAATTTCTCCTGGCCTTCTTTGTGGTGAGTTGGCAGAAAACACATGGGTCACACCAGAAGGGGTTACACTTAGGAATAAAATGACTATCCCTAAGAATGGCCAGAGACTAGAGACCTCAACCAGCTGTTTTTACCAGCCCCAGCGGAGATCAGTGATTCTGGATGGAAGAAGTGGGAGGCAAATAGAATGACATCAGTTCACCTGCTGGTGTCTGAAAAAACATCATGACTCATCTGGAAGTTATTACAGGGCCAACTTGCCATTTTGTAGGCACGAGTTATCAAGTTCGGGCTTATTTTGGCCTCTGACTTCTCTTTCTTTAGCCTTTTGACCATTTGTTAATTTGTCCATTTTCCAGAAGAGGGTCAAGGGAAGGATGAGGATATGAAATTTAGATATCTGTGTGAGCAAGTGGGAGAAGGTTAGGTAAGGGAAGAGGATGGAATGTGTGCTCCAGTGAAATTCGGGGCTTGTTTGTGAGTTGCATTGCTCCCCTAGTATCATTATATATTACTCTTGAGAGCTGGCTGTGATAATGTCCTTTGAAAGAAAGAAAAATCTCTTGCCTGTGTCAGAAAATATTGCTATTGAGGTTTGAAGACCTCCTCTTTACTTCATGCTTTGGGCTCTTTAAAGCATATGTTCTTTTAGACCAGTTTTCTAATAAGCTTTGTAAAAGTGTACTATCCAAAATAGCGGATTTGGAAATGCAAACTAACATGCACTTAGATATCCAAGTAGGTGAGTTTACCCATGCTCTTTTCCTGGAATCCCTGCAGACCTGTCCAAGATGACTCCATATACCAGCATAGAAAATCAAAATCAAGAGCAAACTCTGAGACTGACACAATCCAAGAAGACTTTCTGGCTCTAGCTTCTATTCATTTGGGACTCCAACTGCTACTGTACTGAACTCTGATTTAGAAATCCAGTAGCTGGGCAGGGTCAGGACTGAGCTGAGGATTACCCTAATGAAATTTACTAAATCTTCATTTAGGTATGCAACTGAAGTGAAGGTTATCTGCTTTCTTTAGAATATCAGAGTCCAAGAACATAGTCATCATAGAGAAAAACCTCACGAAAAGGCAGAACTATGCTTCAAACTTATATTGTGTTTAAATCGATGAGGCATTAGCAGAAAACACTTCTAGCTCAGCTTCACTCTTCTTGCACACCAGGCTGGGCCTAGCAGTACAGGAGAGGAAGAAGGGAGGTGCCCTAGGAGGGAGAGAAGAGCCCTAGCAGAGTGGCCCTCACTACCACTCGCTGAGAGGTGCCCTTCTTGAAAATGTATTTCATTTTAGCCAGTTGGTCCCTTCCTTTCTTTCCTCTCTCTTCCATAGTTCTGTCATCCACCAGTCACTCCAGGCACTCAAACTTGCTCTTCTCCTTTGTCTATATATTAATACAAGCAGAAGCAATAAACCAATCTTATTTTGTTTCAGTTATTTAGAACTTTCAATGGTTCTTTCCTTTTCAGCTAGAGAGGAGGGAGGAGAATTAATAAACCTGCTGGCAGATTTCTGGTGCTCCCCAAAAAGGGGTTTCACAGGTAACCTCTTCTCAGGTTCAAGCCTGGCTGAACTCTGTCTGGAAGCTCAGTCATTGCAGAAATTTCTCTAGGGACCAGCAGTACCTCTGGGCAGACCTCACAACCGAGGCTGGTGCTGGCCTGGGTGGGCTTAGCTGAAGTTACCTCCTCTAATAAGAAATTGGGAGCTGATAACTTGCAGCAGATACATATTCCTTTCTCTCTCTCTCTCTCTCTCTCTCTCTCTCTCTCTCTCTCTCTCTCTCTGTCACCCTTCCTTCTTCCCTCCTTCCCTGATAAGCCTTATGAATAGTTTTGAAATCTTGTCCTATACCTTTTAAGCCAGTGTCTGTGACAAGGGTGACTGGTGAGTCAGCTGATGAGTTCTGCCTTCAGAGAGTACTGAGTGAGCAAGGGGAGCAGTTAGTAGGCCTTTGGTCTGTGTGTTTGCACTCTCACTGGGTGAGCAAGACATTGGACCAACAGCCAATGAGATGTCGACCCATAAGAAAAGTCCTAAAATATAGCGTTTTCCCCCTAGGCAAGCAAGGTGAAGAAATATAGCGGTGGCAGATGAGAAAGGCCATGTTCAAGAGATTTGAAAAGTACATTCCCACCTTATCAGAAAATGTGGCAGATAGCCTTTTATGTCAGTCTCGGTGCACTTGTGGTGTCTGTGCTTTCATAAGGACCACGTTCCAGTTAGGATGTGAGGGAGGGAAAGAACCGCACTTTGTTTCACTGTCCGAACTCTGAGCCAAATAATGAAATATTTAAACTATTTTATGATTATTTTTAAATTTTTGTTTGTAACACTTATAAAATATATTTTTATTTGGAGATAGACTGAGAAGCCACCATCACATACTAACGAGTGACTTCAGTTCTAATTGTTGAGAAGCCCATGTAGATTTTTGGCTGCCATGTCCCTTTAGACTCTGGCCCTTTTTGTTTACAGCATCACCTACAGGAGCATGGGTATGAGGCTGTCCTCAGGAGACACGCAGGCGGCTGGCTGGAGATATTCCCCACTCTGGGCTCTCCCTGCAAGTCAATTCCAGAAGGCCTGAGATGCTGACTCCCCTTCTCAGTCAGTGTCACGCTGTTCAAGTGCGGACCTCTCCTTGGACTGTCTCCAGCCTGTCAGACACCGCAAACGTGGTTATAATCCTGTGGTCTGGGCTAGCCTGACACTGATGAAATTCTACTCTAAGGCAAAGAAAGCTCATATATTATCCCCAAATTGTTCCCCGAAATGCCCTGGGATTACCTATTTGGTCACCCACTTGGGGCTCTGAAGAAATGAATCCCCGAGAATGGCTGGATGGGAATGAGAGTGTCTACCTCCATCCAGGGGAGGGGCAGAACAGTCTTCGTCCCTAGAAAGGGAGGTAGAATCCAGCTCTCAAAGGGCTTCTTCAACTATCAGTCCTCAAAAATGGGGGTGGCTGAATTTAAATGTTGAATTTGAAGTGTATGTTGAATTGGTACATGCATGTACCAATGTCTTCTTTGATTCAGAATTAATGGTTGCTTAAGAAAATAATAACCTATATTTATTGCAAAATGGCCCTCCCAGACCCTGTTGTTTTTTTTTTTAAGCCAAAATGGACCAGACAGAGGGTATTTGGTTTTTATTCTCTGCTTCACTTAGTATATGAGGGACCTGGCATATGAAGAGACCTGACCAAGAACCCCATAAAGATACTATTAGCCCAATCTAAGCCCTAAAATTAAAAATATTATCCAAGTCAAAATTTTGGATTCTGGGGACATTAACACATAAATATCACCATACTGAACAAATATTTATAAAGAGCTTAGTAATAGTGCACTGGGTACCTTAGCACTCCTAAATCCTTGAAGAGACTAATGAAAAGGAGAGAGGGGTGGTAGCAAATGAAACAGCCCTTAACCAGGAGCAAGGTTTAGAACTATTAAGTTACCAAACAAAAGCAGAAGGGGGGGGAATATAACCACTAGCATCTTTTAACAGGATTGTTAATGATATTCAAGTGACCTACTGACTTTAAATCATCAAATGAAACACAATTGCAGATCCAAGAGGACATACCAGTGAGATGCTCAGGTGTTGAGAACTTTGTTTTGATTTTAAAAACTAGAGAGCGGCAACTAAGTTAGAATAAGTATTAATAGCTCTGAGGTTTTGCATAGTCCTGATTGGTTTGGTTGTGAAGTCCTGTTGCATCTCTGCAAATGAGCCAGGAAAAATCAGTATTCTATACTCCTTGAGAGTGGATGTTAGGGACTTTTACCATCACCAAGTGGATCAACACCTGTTGATGATGAAGTCATAGGCCCAAGGTAAACTGTTCATTTCATGTACTATATAGTGTTACCACATAATAACCACATTTGGCTAACACTGGGTGGGACAGTCATTTGTCTACACAGGCCTTGTGCTCCTGCCTGAAGAGATACAGTGAAACATAAGATTCATTTATCTGGGATTGGACTGGAAGAAATCCATGGTAGGTCCAGTTCCCATCAGGATTGATTAGGGCCACATTCTATCATGGATGGTCCTATCTGATGACAACATGAATCTTGGGGATAAGTGTTGCCAGGAGTATGATTTCAGGCACTTCAAGCAAGCAGGTCAGCTCAATATGTGGAATGACAAAGAATGTGTCCTCCATTAACCAACATCTTCCCTAGCAAAATAAGGCCAGAAGAGGGAGCAAGCATCTTTCCATACATGGAGAAAGAGGAGAGACTGGAGAAGAGGAGAGACGGTAGAAGGGTGATTGACTGAGATGAGTGCAGTCCAAATGGCATAAAATTGGGGCCTCCATAGCTTGGCTGCTGGGTAGGGGGTCATTTAGTAACCTCAAGGTACATGAATAATGCAGAGATTACTTCTCCATGAGGGTGAGGAGGACATAGCTAAATATAAGAAGCTCATGAAGTCCATAGCCATGTTTTACTGGATGAATTACAATGCTTTGCAATAACTTAATGCCATAGTACTTTCTGGCTTATAATTCTGCAAAGTAAAGCACTTTTTCAAAGGAGTCTTTTGGAAAGCAACATAATTTCAGCTGTATTGTGAACTCTATAAATATGTTTCCAAAGATATAATCGAAATGTTTTTCTATTGATTAAAAAAATATAAATAAATATTAAACCTATCCATAGAGACATTTAAGTGTAATTAAAACATATTGTTATGTGTTAAAAATATACTCTAATAAATGAGATAAAATATAATGCTTATGATGGAACTATGAACTAGAGGAGGACACTGGGTCACCAAAATCAATAATCAGAAAAGTGGATTATATGCATCAGACTCATTCTAGTTTGTTCTGTTCAATGTCATTTTTTGTTAATTTGAGGTTTGGTCTCACAGCAAAAGTCCTGATGATTTGCTTCAGTAAATTTTTCTTATCTTTGTTATTTTACACATTAATAACTGCTAAATGTTTGCAACATCACCCTCTTGCTGTTGTAATCACACAGCCATGTCACCCACAATACCCAATATAAATCCATGATAGTGTAGTGAAAAATGAGAAGAAAAAAGCTTATTGCTTCTCAAAATTCCACAGCTTAAGGAGTCATGTGAGTGCACCCGCAAAGATGTGAACTCAATTTTCCTATTTAATCAATCAAAGGAGACTCTTCTTTTATTTGAGTGATTATATTAATGATGCTCAAGGGGGAAAAAGCAAGAGTGTGTTATCCTGGGATATATCCTGGCATATATAACCACAAAAAGTCAGGAGTCATGGTAGAAGGGAGAATGGTCATAAAACCTGGGCTTAAAACCTAGTGATATTTATGCTGAAAAATGTCATTGCCAGGGGGGTAAAAATACTACCATTTTGGCAACCATATTCTATTTAGAACCCTGCACGGCTAAGGCCTGCTCCTGTCATCCTTCACTGCTGCTCTAAGTGCCCTTTTCTCCTACACACCCCCCAGATCCCCACACTTCTCTGTTTCTCTGAAAAATCTCCCCCTACCACACCCCAACACACAGTTCCCCTCACTCCCAATCTTTCCAAGGTTTCTCTGGATTCGTTCTCTCCTTATAAACTCCCTTGCAGCCCCAGTATTTTCACAGAATATTACTGCCACTTCCTGGAATTCAGTAAAACTCTTGTGAGGAAACTTCTTTCCCTGCACAAGAGGCTGCACATTCTGCCACATTAGACAGACTTTTACAAAGGGTCAGGAGACATTCTCCCAGTTTCTCACTTCTGCACCATTGCTTCTTCCCATCTCATACAAAAATCCCTTACTACAAAAATTTACGAATTCAGCTATCTTAACTTTTACCATTCTGTGTGGTCATGATGTGCTCAATGTCCCAGATTCCTCAGCCTTTGGTACCAGGCTCCCTGTTTCCTTCTTCCTTGTCCTACCATTATCCTGGATGGCTTCAATGTTCCCAAGGAAAACCTACCCAACACCCTTGCCTTAATTGCTTACAGATTTTTACCCCTATTCAGTTTTGGCCATTTGCTTCTAGGGTTATACATCAGGCTCTTTCACAACCCAGAGTTTTGTGATTCTAAATTCTCATTTTCTTTTCTGAGAACTTCCTCCATCCTTACTACTTTATTCCTTGTATTTGCACAGGACTACCAATGCCTGGCACACCCCTGCTCAGGCAGATAGCACACCTGCCGGACTTTATACCTCCTTCCCCAGCCTTCCCAGTCCCCAAGTTGTACCATATCGACCATTCTCACCAGGACCATTAACTTCCTCAACCACTCATCCTTTAGCCATACCTGCTTGACAAACTTCCAACCTAGGACCAGGACTCTTACCACCCATCTTCTCTGACCTTTAACTGTGTCTATGGGTTAGATCAGAGAAAATCATAAAACCATGGGATGAAAGACTTCAGGCATTTATGGTCTACCACCTCAGCAGTGGCCTCATTCCCAAAACCTACAATAGCTATTCCAGTATTCACAGTATTCTTTTAGACAACTGTCCCCGCCAAAAATAAGGATAATTGCTTTGTGCTTTACAAATTTATAATATCAGATGTCTTTCTTCAACCTCTCACTGTCATTTCCCTTACCCATATATGTGTGTACCCAACCTCCCTTGTTGTCTGTCTTCCCAAGGGCTCCTAATCCCCAAGGGCTTCAGTGTTCCCAGTCTTCTTCCATCCATCATTCTTTCCTATGTGTTCAGCCCTTCCCTCTTAAGTCTTCAATCCCTCGGCATAAAAACATCCTAAAGTCTCTTCCTCAACTCTACCCACATTTACCACTTTTTTGTGTCCAGATTCTTGAGAGAGTCATCAATGTTTACTGTTCTGACTTCTTCATTCCAATTCACTGTTCTGGACTAACTGCAACCTGACTTCCACCCATGTTGCTCCACTAAAATTTTTCTTGCTAAACTCACTGATAATCTAATAACCAGATCTAACAGTCACTTCTCTTTTATATTTGATCCTATTGATCATTCCTTTTTGTGAAAATCTTTTGGTTTGACTCTTTTCATGATTGTTCATTTTCTTAGTCTTGTTCACTTGAAAGTTTCCTCTTCCTCTACCATTAAATGTTGTTATTCGCCAGAATTCTGTCATTCCTTCCCTTTTCACAGTATATCCTTTCCCTATACTATTTTGTTTTTGCCCATGGTTTCTTCTACCACTTACATACTGGTGACCCACCCCACCCCTATTTTTTTTTTTTTTTTGAGACAGAGTCTCACTCTGTTGCCTGGGCTAGAGTGCCATGGCACCAGCCTAGCTCACAGCAACCTGAAACTCCTGGGCTCAAAGCAATCCTTCTGCCTCAGCCTCCTGAGTAGCTGGGACTACAGGCATGCACCACCATGTTGTCCAGGTAATTTCTTTCTATTTTTAGTAGAGACAAGGTCTCACTCTTGCTCAGGCTCAACCTCCTGAGCTCAAACCATCCTCCTGCCTCAGCCTGGGCTAGGCATTATAGGTACTAGGATTATAGGTGTGAGCCACTGCATCCAGCCATGCCATTATTTCTTTAAGTATGTCTTCTGGCCTCTCTCCTCTTTTTTCTTCTTCTCTAACTCTATTATATAAAGGTTTGGTCTCTTGATGGTGTCCCATAATTAGTGTAGGTTTTCTTCATTCTTTTTAATTCTTCTACCTTCTTGTTCCTGAGGCTACATAATTTCAAATGTTCCATTTTCCAGCTCACTGATTCTTTCTTCTGCTTGATCGAGTCTGCTGTTGAAACTTTCTGTTGGATTTTTCAGTTCAGTCATTGAATTTTTCCTCTCTAGGATTTCTATCAGGTTCTTTGTTATTATTTCTATTTCTTTGTCAAACTTCTTTTTTATGTGTATTGTTTTCCAAATTTCATTAAAATTTGTATCTGTATATTCTTATAGTTCATTGAATTTTTTCATCAGTATTATTCTGAATTCTTTGTTAGTCATTTCATAGATCTCCATTTTGGGAGGTCCATTATTGGAGCTTTATTAGTTTCAAGGTGTCATGAGTCTCTGATTCTGTATAATCTTTGTGTCCCTACATTGACTTCTGACATTTGAGGAGAAAGCCCCCACTTCTGTCTTTTACAGGTGTTCTTTAGCAGGGATAGACCTTCACTATTTAGCCTATGATTCTATAAGGGCCAGTTTGTGACAACCCCAGGCAGGCAGAGCTTGCGTGAGTTCTCTAGTTGACTGGTTGGCTGCTGCCCTTGCTTTGATGTTGAGTGGAGCTGCTGGCTGGGCTCTGCTATCAGGCGGAGCTCCTGGCTGTGTACTGCAATGACTTCTGGTCAGCCCAGTCACAAGATGTATTCCCTAGCCAGTTAATTCTGATATTTGAGATCTTCAGTTGGGCAGGGCTGCAGTCTGGGCTCTAAGTTAGGTAGAGTCACTGTTCAGTATAAGCATGACCAGAGGCTATGCTCCTTAGAAATATATGCTTGAGGATTGCCTCCCTGTCAGGGTGGAGCTGTGGAATAGGCATTTGGCTGAGTTGGGTGGCTATTTTACCTCCTGAGTCAAGCCAATCTAGCCCCTATGCTTCTCCAAGCTGTGAGGAGATGGAAGTCTCCCTACCTGGGTGGGGTCATTGGAAGTGTTTTTTGGCTTAGAGGAGCCACTGCTTGACTTCCTGAGTCAGGCCAGTCTAGCCTCTTCACTTCTCTGAAATCCATGAAGGTGGGAGTTTCCCTGCCTAGGCAGGGTTGTTGAACAGGCTTTTTGGCTAGATGGAGTGGCTGCTTGACTTTCAGGGTCAAACCAATGTAGCCTCTTCACTCTCCAAAAGGAGAGGAGGCAGGCATCTCCTTGCTTGGGCAAGGTCTTTGGCTTTGGAGCTGGGCGGGAAGACTAGTAGTCTAGGGAGGTCAAGCTAGGTTGTACTTCCCACCATGCTTCTGAAGGTGACCAGCTCAGCATTTTGGGTGGGCTATGAGGCTAGCTGACATCTCTGATCAGGTACCATAGCT